TTTGATCTCTTGTCTGTAAGATTTTTTTTATTATATTCATTATTTCTTCTTTGTCAGTTCCATTAAGACAAATACAGGTCCTTCTCAAAAAATTAGCATATTGTGATAAAGGTCATTATTTTCCATAATGTAATGATAAAAATGAAACTTTCATATATTTCAGATTCATTGCACACCAACTGAAATATTTCAGGTCTTTAATTGTTTTAATACTGATGATTATGGCATACAGCTCATGAAAACTCAAAATGCTTTTTATCATTACATTATGGAAAATAATGACCTTTATCACAATATGCTCATTTTTTGAGAAGGACCTGTACTGTTGGCACAACCTGTAACTGTATAACTCACATTTTTGTCTACTTTTGTTATTTTAGCTGCAAGACTTGAGCCAACATTCACAAAATAATGATTAAATCTATTTACTATTTCATTCTGATCATGGATTTCGTCATCCTTCACAAAATATTGTGAAATACCTGTTTTTACTTTTCAGAACACTATTTATTACTTGCCATGTTGCTTTAAAACCACCTTTACTTTTATTTAATAAATCACTGTAATATTCCTTCTTATGCTTTCTTATAATCTCTACTAAATTATTTTTACACTTCTTGTATTTCTCTTCTGCTTCTTTTGTTCTCTATTTCAAGAAGAAGGAATAGAAATAATTATTTTTTACAAGCATTTCTCAACCCTTTCGTCATCCATGGTTTGTCAACGATATTTCTCTTTGTATAATTTTTTTACTCACGATTCTTTTCATACAGAGCTCCTACAATATTCATAAACTCATCATATGCTCTGTTCACATCATCAACATGCAAGTCCTTCCAGTTTTGTTATTTAAATCATCTTTTAATTTATCCAAAGCTTTTTTTTTATGTGTTTATTTATTTTTTTATTAATTGTAACTGTTTTTGTAATGCATTGATCATTTTTATAGATTGTGGAAACTGGTAAATGATCACTTAAATCAGTTGTTAAAATACCTCCCATCATCTTTCCATTTGTTATATTTGTGAAAATATTATCAATTATTGTTGAACTATGAGTTGTAATTCTTGTTGGTTTCGATATCAATGGATACAGATTTAAACTGAATTTATAAATGTACTAATATTATTTGAATCTGTTTTATTAGTTAAAGACCACGATGAGGAAAACGTGTCAGGAGACAGAGAAGAGGAAAGTGAAGAATGTAGGACTGAGGGTTGCAACTCTAAATGTGGGGACAATGACAGGCAAAGGTAGAGAGCTGGCTGACATGATGCTGAGAAGGAAGGTAGATGTTTTATGTGTCCAAGAGACCAAGTGGAAGGGCAGCAAGGCTCGCAGCATTGGAGCAGGGTTCAACTGTTTTACCATGGTGTGGATAGAAAGAGAAATGGAGTGGGGGTGGTCCTGAAGGAGGAGTTGGCAAAGAATGTAGTAGAGGTGAAAAGAGTGTCAGATAGGGTGACGTGTCTGAAGGTAGAAGTAGAAGCTCTGATGCTAAATGTTGTCAGTGGTTATGCTCCACAGGTTGGATGTGATGTGGAGGAGAAAGATCTGGATGAAGTGATGGAGAGTATTCCCAGGGAGGAGAGAGTGGTGATGGGAGCAGACCTGAATGGACATGTTGGTGAAGGAAACAGAGAGGATGAGGAAGTGATGGGTAGGTTTGGTGTCAAGGAAAGAAACCAGGAAGGACAGGTGGTGGTGGATTTCACCAAGAGAATGGAAATGGCTGTAGTCAACAGCTATTTCCAAAAGAGGGAGGAGCATAGAGTGACCTATCAGAGTGGAGGAAGGAGTACGCAGGTCGACTACATTCTGTGTAGAAGAGGAAACCTGAGGGAGACTGGAGACTGTAAGGTTGTGGCAGGGGAGAGCGTGGCCAGACAGCATTGGATGGTTGTGTGTAGAATGACTTGTTGTGAAGAAGAGAAAAAGAGTCAAATCAGAGAAGAAGACCAAATGGTGGAAGATGAAGAAGGAAGAATGTTGTGAGAAATTCAGAGAGGAGCTGTTAAAGGCTCTGGGTGGTAAGAAAGAGCTTCTAGATGACTGGGCTACTACAGCAACAGTAATTAGAGAGACAGGTAGGAAGGTACTTGGTGTGTCATCTGGACAGAGAATGGATGATAAGGAAACCTGGTGGTGGAATAGTGAAGTGCAGGAAGATGTTCAAAGAAAGATGTTAGCCAAGAAGAAACATGACAGAGAGAGGACTGAAGAGAGGAGACAGGAATATAAGGAGATGGAACGTAGAACAAAGAGGGAAGTAGCTAAGACAAAGCAGAAGGTGTATGATGAGTTGTATGGGAGACTGGACACTAAAGAGGGCGAGAAGGACTTTTACCGATTGGCAAGACAGAGGGATCAGGCTGGAAAGGATGTGCAGCAGGTTAGGCTTATTAAAGATAGGAATGGTAATGGTCTATCAAGTGAGGAGAGTGTGACGGGAAGATGGAAGGAAGAGAATGAAGAGTAGAGAAAGAAGAGTAGAGGTCATAGAAACTGTGGACCAGGAAGTGGGAAAGATTAGTGAGGGTGAAGTCCAGAAAGCTCTGAAAAGGATGAAGAAGGGGAAGGCAGTAGGACCTGATGACCAGTGGAGGTTTGGAAATGTCTTGGAGAGATGGCAGTGAGGGTTTTGACTCAAATGTTCAATGGCATATTTTAAAGTGATTAAATGCCTCAGAAATGGAGAAGAAGTGCTGGTGGCCATTTTTAAGAACAAGGGTGATGTACAGAGTTGTAGCAACTACAGGGGAATTAAGTTGATGAGCCACACAATGAAGATCTGGGAGAGAGTTGTGGAAGCAAGACTTAGACGAGAGGTGACTATCTGTGAGCAGCAGGATGGTTTCATGAAGAGAAGAGCACCACAGATCCATCTTTGATTTGAGGATGATGATGGAGAAGAACAGAGAGGGTCAGAAAGAAGTCCATTGTGTCTTTGTGGATTTAGAACAAGCATCTGACAGAGTGTCAAGAGAGGAGGTGTAGTGTTGTATGAGGAGATCTGGAGTGGCAGAAAAGTATGTTAGACTAGTGCAGGACATGTCTGAGGACAGCAGGACAGTGGTGAGATGTGCTGTAGTGACAGATAGCTTCAAGGTGGAGGTGGGAGTGCATCAAGGATCAGCTCTGAGCCCCTTCTTGTTTACTCTGGTGATGGACCGACTAACAGATGAGGTCAGGCAGGAATCCCCATGGACGATTATGTTTGCAGATGACATTGTGATATGTGGTGAGAACAGGGAACAGGTGGAAGAGAACTAGGAGAGGTGGAGGTATGCACTTGAAAGAAGAGGAATGAAAGTCAGCCGTAGTAAGACAGAGTCCATGTGTGTGAATGAGAGGGAGGAGGTGGAACAGTGAGGCTACAAGGAGCAGAGGTCACAAAGGTGCAGGACTTCAAGGACTTGGGGTCCACTGTCCAGGAACATGGGGAGTGTGGTAAAGAGGTGAAGAAGAGAGTCCAGGCAGGATGGAGTGATGGAGAAAAGATTCAGGAGTGATTTGTGACAAAAGGGTGTCAGCAAAGGTCAAAGGAAAAGTTTACAAGACAGTGGTGAGACCAACTATGTTGTATGGTCTGGAGACAGAGACAGGACAAAAAGACAGGAGACAGAACTGGAAGTAGCAGAAATAAAGATGTTGAGGTTCTCCTTAGGAGAGAGAAAGATGGAGAAGATCAGGAATGAGATCATCAGAGGTACAGCACAGGTTGAACAACTGGGAGATAAAGTTAGAGAGGACACACTGAGATGGTTTGGACATGTCCAGAGGAGGGACAGTGGTTTGGACATGTCCAGAGGAGGGACAGTGGGTATATTGTTAGAAGGATGTTAGAAATGCAGCTGCCAGGAAAAAGACAAAGAGGAGATCTATGGATGCAGTTAGAGAGGACATGGAGGTAGATGGATTGAGGACAGAGGATGCAGAGGACAGAGTGAGATGGAGGAGGAGGACTCGCTGTGGAGACCCCTGAAAAGGGAAAAGCCGAAAGAAGAAGAAGAAGATTATTTGAATCTGTTTTGTTTCCCAGGTCAATATTAAAGTTTCCACACAGAAAAACTCATTAGAACTCTTTTCAAATAGCTCCACGATTTTATCAGTTAATAACTCTATATTTGATCCTGCTGATTGTTATACACGACTTATTATTATGTTTTTATCATTCTTATTTTAATTTTTATTATTTCCATAAAATTATTATTTTTTATTTTTATTTTTTATTATTAATAAGTAGAGCCACTCCACCTTATTGCTTCTGTTCATATGATATATTTCATACCCTGCAATGTGAACATTAGTTGTCTTTTCATCATTGAGCCATGTCTCTGACAGTGCTATTAAAGCAAAAGTTCTGTTTGTTTTAAACAATCTGATATTTTGGGATATATTTCATTTACCTTTATTTATCCAGGTAGTCTCATTGAGCCACGAGAACTCATTTTCAAGAGAGACCTGTTTAGGAGCAGATGGTGGGGCTTAAGGGCCTTGCTCAGGGGCCCAGAGTGGGGCGAATGAGGGTGGAGGCAGGTGTGGGTGTTTCACCTTTTCCACCCACATTTTTTTGATGTTGACGGTACGGGGAGGTGAACCTGCGACTTTACGGTCACAAGCCCATCTTCTAACCTCTGCGCCACCACTCCCCCACAAATATTATTTGCATTTATACTTCTACTATTAAAGGGAATAATAGAGATTTGTCATATTAATATCATTAATTGCTCTTCATTATAATGTTTGCAATCTTTTATGACAGGAAAAAAATTGTATCAATCACATCATCAACATTATATATTTTAAACTCTGAGTCTTAATATGTTGCCATATTTTAATGTCTGTGTCCATTTGTCCATATATTTTGTCAGTTCCTTTTGTACTTTGTTGGACTCATCCTCCGTAAAACTGTCCAGAGGAGCTGATCTAAAATTGATGGACTCAGCCTGACTGAAACTGTCCGGAGCACCTCACTGAACTTGATTACAAGATTATGGGATAAGAGGAATAGTTCATAACTGGTTGACTAGTTATTTGTCTAACCAAAAACAATTTATACAGCTAGGAAATTAAAAATCTGATCTTCAAAATATAAAATGTGGAGTCCCCCAAGGTCCAGTGCTAGGACCAAAGCTTTTTCTTTTGTATATCAATGGCACTTGTGAAGTGTCTAAAAAGTTACAAGTCATCGTGTTTGCAGATACAAATTAATTTTGTTCTGAGAAGGACTTAAAAAACGTTATAGCATGTTTGGCTAGTGAGATGTCTAAACTTAACGAGTGGTTTAAATACAACAAATTATCAATAAACTGGAATAAAACAAAATTCATGATTTTTGGTAATAGAAAAATAGATGATTCTATTATAATGTCTATAGATGATAATCAAGTTGAACGAGTACATGAAGTTAAATTTTTAGGGGTTGTTTTAGATCATAAACTTAACTGGAAATCTCATAAAATATATAAAACTAAAACTGCAAAAGTATTGGACTTCTAAATAAAGTAAAACATGTTTTAGAACTATCAACACTCCAGACGTTATATTATTCAGTTGTTGTTCCATATGTGACTTATTGTGTAGAGGTATGGGGCAACACGTATAAAGCCAACACTAAACCGTTGTCTGTCAAACAAAAGAAAGTTATGAGAGTTTTATATAAAGTGGACACTAGAGAACACACATAAATTGTTTATTCAGTCAAATATCTTGAAACTCACGGATCTGGTTCATTTAAAAAGGTTATTGGTTATGTTTAAAGCTAAAAAGAGATTATTGCCATTTAATTTACAAAAGTTCTTTTTAAGTTCATGTGATAGAAATACCAGAAGGAAGTATGATTTCAAAAGTAAAATTGTGCGTACTACTTTAAAACAAATGTGCACGGAGTAAAACTATGGAACAGTTTGGATGAGGAGTTAATAAATGCTCGACAATAAACCAATTCAAAACACTTTATAAGAAAAGAATGATTAACTCTTATACACTTTGAAGTTGTTAATGAGAAGAGTGATAATTTGTTCTGCATGTTATAGTTGTTGTTATATTGTTTGTAACTTGTTTTGTTCAGTTAATGAACACGGCCATGACATGTTTGTGATTATTGAGGAAGGGGGCAGGTCTGTACAAGATCTTCTCCCTGCTCGTCCTTCACTCGTGTAAATAAGTGTTGTCAGAGAATGTGCTTGTAAGCTGATGATCAATGTTTTTGAATCGAGTGAATAAACTGATTGATTGATTGGACTCAGCCTCTCGAACTGTCCACAGGACCTGAGTGAACTTCGCCTGATTCATCCCGTCTGTTCTTCAGTCTGAGGTGAACTGAACTCTGAATTAAAGGCTTTTAAGATTGCTGCAGACCAGTTTTAGGAGTCTCTATGCACACAAAAATCTATGTATTGTTCTCTTTCCTCTTTCCTTCAGGAGCTTCTTAACATTGAGGTGAAGAACAAACAGCTTCCAGAAGTGGGAAGTGAGCACTTGTTACCTATGAGGTTAGTGTTTTGAGCATTAGTAAGATCTCACCGTCACTGTGAGCCATGAAGTCATAATGTTTCCTTCTGAAGTACACAGAGAACCGGCCTTTGTCCTGAGGCTTCACATTGGTGATACTAGAAACGTGGAACAAGATCTCGCTGAAGCGGTCCTACCAGAGAAACAACACTCAGCTGACACAGGTGCACAGGTGTACCCAGCAGACCAGGGGGACAGCCACTTACCGAGCGCTTCTTACGCAGAGACATTAGCTGGCCGTCCAACGTCGCCCAAAGGACACTGTATCTGTAAGAGAGAATGTCACACCCATCACAATCTTAACCCATACAACTCTCCATCAGAACCTTCACAGAAGCTGGTTCTGGTGGTGTTTGTTACCTGAAACCCTTCCAGACATCCAGCCAGCTGGCTCGGACCACGGCACTCTGAGGTGCTGACCCGCCACTGTGTCCCTTCTTCCTGGACACCCGTATGGTTGCCGCCCTGCAAGACAGACAGACTTTAGGACACTGGAAGGCCTCCCTGCTCTCCTCAGACCTTCTAAGACCCTGATGGGTCCAGGTCACCATGGTCCTGAGAGCTCGGAGGGAAGGTCCGTTCTCTGATGGAAGTCTAACATGAGTCATGGTGGACTCCTGTAAACTGAAATTTCTGGTCTGTGGGAACACAGACATATATACATAGATGCCCCATTGAACACAGAATCGTACGTCGATATCGACGCCATTTTAAATGTGGCGGAACTGTCAGTCAGAGTCAGAGATTCTTTATTGTCATTCGCACCTCATGTGGTACATGTGGTGGAACGAAATTATGTCCACAGGGTCCCAGTTACATCCAACAATAAAATGTATAAGAAAAACAGTAATAACATCTAAGATATGAACTAAGAAAAACATCAACTAAATATCAGAATCAGTTTATTATCGCCATGTCGATGAACGAGGTTCACAAACTAGGAATTTGCTTCGACATAAGGTGTGAATAGTAATAAAGTAAAATTAAGTAAAAATTAAGTAAAAATTAAGTAAAAATGAGAACATTACACAAGACATAAGCCTGTGTACACCCACAAATAAAGTAAAATTAAAACCATAACATAACCATATGTACACCCATACAATAGAAAACAATAAAAGCTTAGAGAACAGTACAGATGGAGTATTCAGTTATAAAACAGATGTAATGTGACCACAGCAGAAGTTATGAGGTAGCATTATGAGTGTTCAGGAGTCCAACAGCAGAGGGGAAGAAACTGTTCTTATGGCGGGAGGTTCTGGTCCGAATGGACCGAAGCCTCCTGCCTGAGGGGAGTGGTTCAAACAGTCCGTGTGCAGGGTGAGCAGGGTCAGCTGTGATCCGACCTGCTCGCCTCACAGTCCTGGAGACGTACAGGTCGTGGAGGGATGGAAGGCTGCAGCCGATCACCTTCTCAGCTGAGCGCACAACGCGCTGCAGTCTCAGTCTGTAAATATACACTAAGCACTCATAACATAAAAACATTGAACATCAGCACAAACATGAACATGAGTCTGTGAGCAGATGTGCACGCATGAACACATCATGTCGTCATTTAGTACAAAGAAATGGACAGAACTTCATAAAGCACCGTTCTACAAAGTGTTTTAAGTAAATGCCTGTCATTCACACACACTAATATATTTGGAAAACAAACAGGCACCAAAGACAACATTTGTAACTTACCGTTAAAAGCTACAAATGTTGTCTTTATATATTTTTCATTCATTCAACCTTTATTTCTACAGGTAAATCCCATTGAACCTCGAGGACTCATTTACAAGAGAGACCTGATTTAACAAAGAATGATGACAACAATGAACAACAGCAACAACAATAAACAGTTATAAAAAGCATACAGATTTTTTTTATTTACAAATAAGATGGCAAAAAAAAAAAATTATATATATATATATATATATATATATATATACACACACACTATATATATATAATCAGGTCTCTCTTGTAAATGAGTCCTCGAGGCTCAATGGGATTTACCTGTAGAAATAAAGGTTGAATGAATATATATGTCTATGTGTAGGAACACCGCCACCTTAAGTCCATCCATAGGTTCTTTTATTGCGGCAGAGCTAGAACTTATATTTTGAAAAGCAGAAAGCATTTATTATTTACTTTGTAGTACTTTAGATGAGGTTGTTGTGTTCTGTGTTCAGGTTTTATGCTTTAACAAAGGTCCAATTAGAGTTCTGGAGGCCCGGTTCAGTCAGCACCTTTCATCAAAGCTCAGATAAAGTCTAAACTTTGGACTCTCAGCACTTCATACTCATTCCATCAGAACATGACAAACTCACTTCACCACTTGCTGTTGTCAAGGGTGGATGTCCTCCTCTCCCTCTCCACTTTGCTTTTGCTCTGTCCTGTCCGTGAAACTGCTTCAGAGCATCTCTCTAAATATCTTCCAAACCGTAATTTTTGCCATGGATCTGGTCAGCTGGTCTCTCAACGAAATTGATAAAATTTTCTCGATCAGAAGACAAGCTTCAGGCGAGTCAACTTGCCCTGATGACATACATAGCTGGATATGTCATTGATTGGGGCGATTGGAAGGTGATGCGTCTATCTCTGGTGTCCATCAAGGATGTTGAAGGTGCATATATAACTGGATTTATGATAACAGGTTTCCTAATTTTTGGAATCGGCTGGTTCCTGGTTTATCAACAAACAAGGAAGTTGTGAGCAGCAAATTTGGCCCTGGTCAGGCTGCGTGCCTTATGTGATGGTTTGCTCTGTGCCTCGAGCACCCAGACTCAATTGTTTTGTGAACTGAACCGCAAATTGAATGTGATTTGTGAGAACCTTTTGTGGAGTGTCCTTGAACACACTCACCGCTGTTGTCATCCCCCTCACCTGCAGAATGTATGTGTCACTATGTGCCTATGTGCAGGGAGTTTTTTTCAATCCCAGGCTCTCTCTCCTCAGACAACGAGTGAGAGTTTGATAGGAATTTCTTTTTGCCTCCAAATACTATACATGTGCCACTTTCATTACTTTTTGTTCGTCTAAACAGGTCTCACTTGAAAATGAGTCTTCGAGGCTCAATGTGATTTATATGTGTAAATAAAGGTTGAATTAATAAAAAAGGAACTACAGGAATACTACTGGTACCAGCAAAACCACAGACCTGAGCGTTCTGAATGTACCTGGGAGTCTTCTGCTTCACTGATTGGTTCTTTCTGTGAGGGGGGGGTGGAGCTGGGCGCATGGGGATCAAAGGTCCCGTGCGATTGGTCAAAACTCTGCAGAACAAAGGTCAACATCAGCAGCAGCAGTAGCAGAACATTGTGATATCACAGAACCACAAACACACCTGGTGGCAGCCGAGTCTGAACAAGAATCTCCATCAGACCCAGAAAGGGCGGGGCTAGCCCCTGGATCCTCCTCCTCATTGGATGATTCTGTATCCCCCTCCTCCTGACTGGTCCAACAGGATAGCACTGTCACATACGGGTCCTCATCTTTAGGGCCCTCAGGAGATGAAGATGGAACTGGAACCAGAACCAACAGACCAGAATCAGAAGGACGGGGAGGGACACAGATCACGTCAATAGAAACCTGGGGCTGTGTGATTCAGAACCTGTCTCTGTAGACTCTGCAGGGGGTAACTGAACTCCTGTGGTCAGATCCAACAACTGGGTCACCAGCTGGGAAAGAACTCCAACATCTGGACACATGTTCAAAACAACAACATGGAGAGGCAGGCATTCTTCTGATCCTTAAACCTCGTTCAGCCTAATATCAGGTCCAGTCATCTGGACCAGAACCAGGCCTAGAACCTGGCTGGAGGATCAGTTTCCATGGAAACTGAACTGAGACTTGTGGAAAAGTCCTAACTTTGACACAAACTTGATGTATAAACACAAACACAAAGGTTTACCAGAACCTAAATCATAACTTACTCAGAAGAACCAGAACTAGTGCTGATCCGTTTCAGGCATGGGCAAATCCTGGCCAGTGGGCTGTATATGGCCCGTTGGGCTTTTTAATTGGCCTGCAGAAATTGTCCAAAATTTGGACAATAAAAGTAAATTCATTAATTAATAAAAAAAATACATATATATATATATATATATATATATATATATAT